AGGATTTTCATACCTTGATGTCTCCTTTTCTGGACTCAGTTCCAGGACTGTTGCCTCAACTTGTCCATCTGTAGTACCAGTCTTCATTTTTAGGGAGAGAAATATTTCAAGTGGTATTTAAAAAAAAAATAATACAGAAGACATAAGACCAACCAAGCCAAAACCTTGGAAGTTCTTTTGAGTATCAGATTTTGATTTGACCTTAAATTAATATAGAGGCCAAATTGTTCTTTTTGGAAGTTCCCTCTGAACAATTTTGTTTTCATAGCATTTAAAGGCTTAAATTCAGAATTTAGTATTTGTTTAATGAATTCCTATAGAACAGTTGTACTTGGGAGAAAAAAAATGGATAAAGGTAATTTTTTTCTGCCGTACCATTTCTTCTTTATCTACAGAGTTGTATACCCTTAAAGCCAGGAAGTTCTAAGGTAGCTTGATTTTTTTTTTTAAGTTATCTCAGGGAAGTTTCAGAGAAAAACACTAGTAAACACAATTTGCATTTTAAATGAAGGATATTTTTTAAGTTTAAACAAAAGACTTTCAAACTTTCTGGACCTGTCATAAGAAATATATTTTACATGTGAGTAAACCACACTTTATTTATCCATTTATCTGTTGTTGGAGAATGACTTCATTAATTTTTTTATTATTGAAGTACAGTTGACATACAATGTTATGTTAGTTTCAGGTGTGCAACACAGTGATTTGACAATTCCATATATTATGCAGTGTTTACCACAGTAAGTGTTGTTACCATCCCGTCACCATGAGAACTATCTCATTTTAAGGGGAATTTTATTCAGAAAATGATTGTAAACTAAATGATCGAGCATTCCTTTATAGGTTCAATTGCATATATATAAATGAAGCCTAAAGGCTTTTGAAGAAATCTGACATCTATTTATAGAAGCCTGAGTATGAGACGAAGTACTTATATATTCAGAAACTCATGAGATAGTATTGGGCCTGACCTATAGATTCAGGGTTCATTTATGTACAGATGGCAAGTGAAATCATGTGAGTGCATGAAATTGCCCCAGGGAGAAGGTGTAGAGGAACCTAGGACAAAGTCCTGAAGAATTTCAACATTTGGGGAGCAATAGAGGGAAAGGAGCCTCCAATTTCTTCCCTGGAGATGGTGATAATAAAACCTAACCTAGGCAACCCTCAGGCTCATCATCATTTGAGAAGAAAACACCTCCTACTTTTTCACATAAATGAGACAACAGATGCAAAGCAACTGGTGCTTGGCCCATAGGTAGGACCTCAGTAATGATAGGTAATAATATTGCAGTGATGAAACTTCTTCTTATTCTGTATTTTGTGTCTGCACTATCACTGTTGTTAATTTCTGTGCCCATTGCTTTCTTTTATTATCTGGTAATATCATATCTAGGACTGCCTATTTTGAAATGAGCTTTCCCACCCTCTTAAAAAATCAGACTATTTTTAATTTTGTTGTTGTTCCCAGACTTGACTAGCTCCTCTCATAACACCAAAGGGAACTAAAAGAAATCTAAATTAGGTGGAGAGGAGCTAGAGGCCCAGGCCAGACTTTGTCTGTGGCTGACTCAAGACTGCAGTTCTGGATGCACAGAGGAGGATGTTCTCACTTCTGCAACTTGGAAGAGAACAGTTGTAGCCCAAGATCATCAAGACAACAAAATTCTTTCTCTTAATATCTCTTTGTTTTGATATTGACAAGGGAATAGTTACTTCATTTCTCAAAAACAAGTGATTTTTTTCCCTCCCATTTTTGGTAAAGAATAGTTGACAAATATTCAGGACCCAGCCTAAAAACAGTTATGCTGTAGAAATTGACTTTAAAATTTTTATGAAGTTCTGGAATTAGAAGTGGAAAATCATTAGCTATAGTGTTTTTGAAGCTTATTAGATTATCAGACATAATGTCTTGAACTTGTTATTCCTATAAGATCTTTAACTATTATTATTCTCTTTTGAAAAATTTCTTTGAATATTTTTTAATGAACTCTCAAAAGTCATGACCACACCTGTACATTCACTTTTAACACAGTTGGTATGATTGTTTCTTCCTAAATCTTCTCAAGGAGTTGTTAAGATATGAATAACTTCTACATCTCATCACTTTGTTTGCTTTAGTCTTTCAGAGTTATCTTCATAATTTCCTAAATTTTTCAAATCTTTCCACTCCTCAAGGGTGGAAAATATTTCCAGTGTTTTCTTTTATTTGACATTTGATTAGTTCTGTTTTTCTGGAATGTCACATCTTTGGTGTATTCCTCTATATATTCCATATATAGGAATGTATTCTAGGTACAGGAAATACAACTTTCTGTGAAATTAAAATTACAGATTGGCATAGCATTTTGTGAATGTGTACAAATTCTTTCATCCTTTATTATTGACTGATTTGTTATAGACCGAGAGAATGAAATACAAAGAGATATAACTTATATTAAACTACACACTTAAAAATCTTTCTGGGGGCGCCTAGGTGTCTCAGTCGGTTAAGCTTCTGACTCTTGGTTTCAGCTCAGGTCATGATCTCAGGGTTGTGAGATTGAGCCCCACATTGGGCTCCACATTCAATGCGGAGTCTGTTTGTCCCATTCCCTCTGCCCTTCCCTTTACCCTGTCTCTAAAATAAATAAAATCTTTTTAAAAAATGATGCTGGAAATGGACTTTGTCTCCTGACTCCTGATCCAATGCACTTTTCACTGGAAAATGGACAATTCATTGATGTTCATGATCTAGTTCATATTGGCCGTTGTCCAAATTTGGAGGTCAAAAACAGGACAGAGCTTATGGAAAACTATTATTGCCTGTCTGTTTCTAATTTAATACAAGAATTACTGGAATTTTTGTGTATTTTCTGATCTGTTTGGTAGAGCATGCTGTCTCTTATCTCATGGTCAAATTACAGAAAATGAAATGACTTGAAAACATAAGATAATAATAGCACTTGTTTTATAGTCCTATAAAAATCAGTAGTGATTGGTGAAATATAGCAAGCATTCTTTGTAACCCCAAACCTGAATTAGAAGCATGGAGAAGTCAATTAAGAGACTCGAACCCAAGGAAAATTATGAGAAGAAAATGATGATTGTCACTATGATATTTTGTTCCTATAAGGGGATAAGGCAATTAGAGGTAAGAAGGAAGAAAGTTTTTAACAATTCAAATTGAAAATGAGTGAGGGGAAGGTATTCCTAGATATCATGGGTGGGTAGTTTTAAATGTCAATAAGTTTTCCTGTAAAGTTGTGTGAAGAATAATGAAGTAGAGCTTAGCTTACTGTGGGAAGAGATTTTTTTTAAACATTGATATTTTAAAGACCTAGGCATCTTAAATGGAATGACTATTAAAATGCAAAATTAGACGGAACAGAGACATTTTGGGGATTATATATGAGTAGAATTCTAAGAGCCAGATAACGAATGACTCAGATAATCTGAGCGGTTTGGGCTGACTCACATGTTTTGGAAGAAGATGTCATCAAGTCTCTGATTCTGTCAATGTTTTTCCCTTTGTTCCACCTGTTAGTGCCAAACAGATCCTGAAATTCAGGGACTTTTCCAGCTCCAATTTGCCAAAAAGACTTTCCAAACCACCAGTAACAAGTCTAAGGTTTTTTTAAAAAAATATTTATTTATTTACTTACTTACTTACTTACTTATTTATTTAAGAGAGAGAGAGGGAGAGCGCTGGTGCACAAGCAGGCGGAGGGACAGAGGGAAAGAGAGAGTATCAAGCAGACTCTCTGCTGAGCGTGGAGCCCAATGCAAGACTCAGTGTGGGACTCAGTGGAGGGTTTGTCTCACAACCTGAGATTATAACCTGCGCTGAAATTAGGAGTCAGACACTTAACCAACTGAGCCACCCACATGCCCCAACAAGTCTAAGGTTTTGAAATATATAGATATTTAGTATATCTGAATAATACTAAGAAACACAAGTCACATATGTAATTATGGAACATGCAGGAGATAGGAATCCCAGATAGAGCTTTGATAGGATAGGAATGGAAGAACCAATTGGGTTTGGTTTGTCCAAGATGTAAGAAAGGAAACTTGTTACCCCAATACTGCCTGAATGATGCTTCCTGGAAGGTATTTTAAATCCACAAATATTATCTGGCACCTGTACTAGGTGTAGGGAACATATAGAAGGGATCCTGGCTTCTGTCCTAGAAAAGCTCACAGCCTATGAGGGAAATTGACATAAGAACGAAGTGGAACATTTTGATATAATACATCTAAGAGCAAGATTTTGGGAGAGAGTCACAGAATTGTCAGTTTCTTACACCACTAGGATTTCGAGACTCTCACAGAGGAGGTGGCATTTGGCTGGGCCTTGAGGGATGATTTAAAGTTCTAAATATCTAAATAGGAAAAGCACTTTAACCAGAGGTCAGAACCACATATGGAGGAAAGAGATAACTGGAGTACAGATGTTGGGATATGCTCAGAGAGTGGTTAGTAACCAATCTCGTCACAGGATTGCGGAAGTAACAAAAGATGAGTTGGGAATATGGGACACAAAGGTGTGCCTGATCAGTGTAGGTCTCTTGTTATGGTTTACATGACCTGTGTCTTGAAATTGTCCTAGTCTCAGGAACACATCTCACCTAAAAATTGCTATTCATCTAAATCTATGATTTGGTTTCTTGGCAAAAGACCAATTTGGTGATGAATAACAATAATCTAAGAAAAGCTTGCAATCTTTTCTATATCTGGCCCTGATCTCCTTTCCATTCTTTATATTCTTAGGTTGCTCAGAGCGCTAAGAACTTAGAGTGCTGAGTCTTTGACAAACATCTGTCGAAAATAATAATGAGTCATATGCACGTGCACACACACACAGACACATACATACAAATGAAGAGATTTTCATTGCTTTTTGAACGTTCAAATTTAACTGGTGTATTGCAACTTTAAAAAATATCTTTCCCTTGAATGTTGCTAGGAACGTTCAAATAGAAAATAGATTTCCTTGACCCTTTGTTGTTTTCCCACAGGATTGAAAAAACGTACAAGGAAGGCCTTTGGAATACGGAAGAAAGAGAAGGACACTGATTCGACGTATGTACTTTGGGAGAGCACAACTGTCAGGAGCAGCTGAGGGATCACACGTGGCTGTGTGGAAATGCAGATCTGGTGTGGTCAGCTGCACATCAGAAGCCCATTAAAACCCTTATTTGGCTAGAATCCCTGAAAGAAAGTTAGAAAATGGGGAAGTCAACAGTTGAATAGGTGAAACCGAAGAGGGCTACCTTTATTTCTCACCTTTAGCTTTTCATTCTGTGCATTTTTATCATGCATAAATTTTAGCACAAAATCCAAAGCCTGCTCTGTGTCTTCGTCGTCCAAGAACTCATAAATCATGGGATAAAACATCTACCATACCAAAGAAATACCTTTCACATAACAAAATGCGATAACATAGTTGAAATGCCTCGTATGGTACCTAGAACTAAGAAATGCTTAGTAAATGGCAGTGGACACTGGTCTGAGTCTTACTAATACAAATTAATATGTGGTAAGTCCTTATGAGCAATTAAAAATGAAATTTCATGGAAATTTGAGGGTGGGTAAACTCATGTTTGGACAGATGATCAGTGAAATCTCGGAGAGGGAGGAGCCTTGACTTTGGACTTGGGAGAAGATGAAGACATGCATCTCATGCAAAGGAAGGGAACAACAGCCAAAGCAGAGAGGTGGAAAAGCCGAGTAGGTATTGAGGACAAGATAGCTAGAACAGCTTGTCCGCCTGATGGCTACAGGGAAAGGTGGGGAGGGAGGCAAAGCTAGGAAGGACATCAGGGCCAGATGGAAAGGTCTTTAAGGGCCAGGCTGAAGTGTCTGGGCTTCCTTCCTTAGGCAAGGCGCAACCTTGAAGCCTTGAAGGCTTTTAAACCAGACGGTGCAAAGAATTTTGTAAGGGGAGGAAGCTGTTTTTTTTGCCTAGATCTCACATGTTAGAATCTCCTGTTCCTACCTTTTCTTTACGCTTTTCTTTTGACAAATAATTATTTCATGGAAATTGCATTTACCCTGGTTTTGCAAATTTTTCATATGATTGAATTAAGAATGTATTTCTGAGAATTATATAATCTCCAGTAGTTCTTAAGAAACTGACATTGTCTAAAAATTAACCAACCAGAATTGGTGATGGTACTTTCACCAGGAGCCGAAGACTGGGGCTCCAGTTCCAGCACTGCCCATAGCTCCTTGGCCTTCGGGGTCGATTTTCCTTTCCTGGTCCTCAGTTTACACTAGATGGAATCTGATTCCCCTAAAGGGCCAGACGCTGTATCAGTTCATCTGTCAGCGACATCTGTCATCACCTATCGTGTGCCACGTCTTGTGTGGGACACTACCGAACACATCTCAGGAGAACGTCATTAGCAAACACCAAACCATTTTACTTTGAAGGCAGTGTCTGTAACAGACCACACATAGTCTCTGCTGTGTGAAGAAAGTTCAAAAGGAAAAAAAAAAAAAACTCCCTCAAAAGGGGAAAGGAGTCAAACAACCTCCCCAGGGCAGGCTGGGCTAATTTGCAATTGACCAAAGCATTGCTCTTCATCATCATTTCTAAGGGTGTGAAAATAAGGAAGTTATTCCTCATGGCTTTGGGTAGACACCCCATATCTCTCTGAAGCACTCCATCGAGACATGTGCTTGTAGAATCCTAACCATCTCTTCTTAACTTCTTATCATTTGAGCGCCCCAGCTTACTTACATCATAGCAAATTAGCCATCAACTAGTTCTACCAGCCATGATGGTCAAAGGACAGGCTGTTTAGTGTAAACCTTTGCTTTTCATGAACCCCTGCTCCCTAATTGGGTCATACATCATTCTTGCAAAAAGCTGGGAAGATATTCCGGCAATTTGCTGTCCCTTCAGCTTTAAGCAATGCTTCTGTTCGTCTGCAATCATCGAAAGCTTGTTGATGCAAACTGTTCTCAGGACTGTTGCAACTCCATGAGGGTTGCCAAGCAACCTGCTACTGTTAGCAGCCAACTATAGCTGATTGAACCTCCTTAGATAGACAGTGGGCTTAGGACCAGAGCTTCCTGATTTGATCATCGTTACAGTGCCCGATAGAGGAAAGGAGAGAGCTGGTGCTAAGTGGCAGACACTGTGCAGGGTATTTTCTATGCACTGATATCCTTTTTAATCCTCACAGTGATTCAGTGAGGTCAGAAGTAATATCTCAATTTTAGAGATGAGAAATCAGTGCCAAAGGGATTAGGTAACTCTCTGAAGACTATATGGAAAATAAGACTTGGAGCCAGTATTCTAGTCCAGAATCAAGTGCCCATTCTTTATCACCCAGAAGAAAAGGACTAGATGGGCAAAATTATAATCAAGACCAGTACCAGAGTAAAGAGAAGCGGCACTGGTTGCAAGGGGTAACTGACACTTCTTAAAATAGAGACAAAGGGCCCATGGTAGATGATTAGTTTTAAAAGAGAAGTCAGGAAATATGAGGGGTCTGCTGTTAAAAAGAAAAAAATATTTAAAAATATAGCTAAAACTTCATAAGAGGGGGTGAGGAAATGAACTGAAACACGTTCAAGAGTCTGAGACTGCTAACATCGCTCTACTCCCCATCCTAGGTCAGATTGCATAATAATTTTATTCTAGATAACATTTCATGGGTATTTACTATATTCTAGGCACTATTCCAGGCTCTTCACTGCTATTAACTCATTGAATCCTTTAATAGGCCCATGGAGTATAGGCCAATTTCATGGCTATTTAGTAGATGAGGAAACTGAGACACGAAGGGGTAAAACGACTTGCCCAAGGTGAGGCGGTTAGGCATCTAGGTTGATTGAATCCAGGCAGTCTGGCACCACAGCCAGTGATCTTCACTGCCACCATGCTAGCAAGCACCAGCCCCATCCCATCAATGGTTAAGACAAAGGCAGAACAGGACCCAATGCTGCCATGTGCAATTACAGTGTTTCTGATTCAAATTTTTGAAATGCCATCCTTATAGTTGCAATATGCATGAGGTCAAGTGGCCTCTCATTTAAATCCCCTATGGATATACCCTTGTACCTGGACCAATAGTGGGCAATGGCACAGCCAGGCCTTTCTCCAGAGCCTGGTCTTCTCTACATCTATGACTGGATGCCTGCAAAGACATCCCCACAAGGATCAGTGCCTTTGGATATATCCTACCCCAAAGTTGATGCAATCACCTCTCTCTCAATTCATTTAGCACAGGTTTACTATCCGAGTAAGAAGTGCTCATTTTTTTTTTTTTGGAGTGTATAGATCTGAAAAGGGAAAGCTGGTTTTGATGAGTGTGTGTCAGTACCTTTTCTCTGTGCTTTCAATGCAACCTGGGTTTATTGTGGCCATGGTAACCCATTGGATGTACTCGCCTGTCTCAATCTTTTTATGAAGAGCATGTCTTCATTATTTCTATCCCCTGATTCTAGTCTAGTGCCTGGCCCATTATAAGCACTCAATATTTGTTCAGTGAATTATAACTTTTATCAATTTTTATCTTCCTACCTTTCTATTTAGGTGAAATTTCTTTGAACCAACTAATTCCCATAGCCAGGTCAACTTCCAAGGGTCTTTTAATATCTGGGTCCTCTCTGCTTCTAGCCCATGTGTCACTGATTCGCCTCTGCATCCACATGGACACAGAACTGGTTATGAAAAATGATGTACGCCCCCACGAGTTTTGTAATCCAAATGGAATATCCTGCTAAATTTGAAGGGGGTGTTAGTGGGAAAGGGGAATCACATCGCGGAGCCGAGAAGATGTGCCACCCACTCTCTGCATCTCTCTCTCTTTCTCCCTCTTCCTCGCTCCCTCTCCTCTTTCCTCCGCCCTACCCTATGAATCAATAAGGAATGTTATTACCTGGTCCCACAGCCTAAAGAACAGTTTTAGCCACATCAAACTCCACAAAACTTCAGAGTTTACCTCAAGCACTTATTAAGTTTTACTTCCAAACAATTCAAGTCCTCATCTAAGCATAATTCTGATCTCCATGTTAATAGAATGACATTTTTCTAGCTCCTTACAGAGTGAACTTAAATAGGAAGTTATAAAGTGACGGTGACTACCTTCTCGCTTCTCCCTTCCTCTGGCCCCTCCAGTTCAGTTTCCCAGAGTAACAGTCGTATTACTTGCTAGGAAGTCTAACATAACTGCGAGTGGTCAGTTTTGTGTTCTCAGCGAGGAGATGTCATGAAAGAGGAAAAAAACGAACATTTGTATGTGTCAGGAACTGATTGTAAGTTCTTTATATACGTTATCTTATTTAAACAGGGCTTAGAGAGATTAGGTAACGTATTCAAGGTCACAGAACTAATAAGTGGTGGAGTCTGGATGCCCAGATTCATCCTACTCTAGAAGCCTTACTCCTAGTCACCCTTACCACACAGTGTCACCATGGATTACCTATCCTGGACTTTGGTCATCAGTGTGAGCCTTTTAGCAAACATTGTCCTCCATTTCCTGCTCTCCTATAATCAAAGGAACAGTAAGTATAGAAATAGGGGGAAAAAATACAGATTCTCAAGGTGAATAGAAAGATACCATAGGAGTTCCTTTCTATGGGGGGATATTCAAGGCCACTCCCAGGGGAGAAGATGAGAGAGGGCAAGTCAGTTTATGTTCCTTGTGGTAGTTTAAATGGAGACAGCTGGGTGGGACAGACTCTTAATAAACTTTCCTCTCAATAGCGGACCACGACACTGCACCAGCAACGTGTACCATTTGGACACCAGCTTTTAATGAGAATCGGCACTCCCCCACCCCCACCCCCCCACACAGACACACATCTCACACTCAAATAACATTCAACAAATTTGTTTTGATTTAGTTTTCATTAGCCGGGTTCACTGGGATGGGAATGCAGGAAAGGGGGAGAGAGGTGGTTTGTGAATCTTATTGTTACCCGTTAGTCTATGTAGCAAGAATGATTCCTTTTCCTAATAGCTACCAATTTCTTTTTTTACAGAGGTTCACCAGATAGAGATGGAATTGTAAGTATTTAAATGACCATTTTCAGTAGGTTTGCACTTCAATATATACTATGTTGAAATTTCTTAAAGCCCCCCCTTTTTTTTCTGTAGGGAAAAAATAGCCTAAATGACTTTTTAGACTTCACGCTGTTGTAATTTTCTGTAGTAATTGAATGGGACATATAAATGCAGTCTTGGTCAAGTTAAACTTATTTATTGCATTCACCTAAAACCCTGCCCCAGAGTGGGCAAGCAAACCTCATCGATATGGTGGGTCAGAAGCCAGACAGTTCCTGCAGGGGCTGCTACCATTAACGGTTATTTCATTTCCAATTTAATGATATAAAAACTTATTATGTGAGAATGTTTTTCTCCAACAGAGGCCACAAAGTCATAATGGAGCTGAGATCCAATAAAATTGAAAGAAGCTTTTCCCCTTTAGTTGAGTTGTAGATACATTTTCTATATTAAATTCCGAAGTAGGGAATGGTCTCGAAACCACTTGTGCCTGAATTTACAGTCTGAAGGAGGAAAGTGTCTCCACTGGGTTTAGGCTTAACAGTAACTCTGACTCCTTGCTAGCCACTAGATTTCTTGCTTTTTTAAGAAGTCTGTTGCACATGGGCTTGGATGGATCTGAGTTGAGCTTATGGGAGTCTGTACCAACTTCTAAAATGACTTCCTTCGAATCTAAATCAGATGCCTATTCAGAAGGTTCAAAAGAACAGCTGTTACTGAAAAAATAAATGGACTCACATTAGGCTCATTGGGCTGGAGTGGGAACTAAAATAAATCTGGTGGTTAAAAATATGTATTTTTTGAAAAATCGCCCTTTATATTATTATACCCAAATTGAGGTGTTAGTTGCAGCTATAGCAGAAGATTTTCTTCCACACTTGACTCAAGGTTTGGAGCTTTGGGGTCCCTTTTGCATTCATGTAGTTCTCGCCATGAAATGTTAAGAACATAGACTGAAATTGATCAGACATTGGGTAACACTGTAATCAAGGCTCTATTCAGCAGGGGAAAAAAAAGACCCAGAAGACTCAGCTTCTCCTCACCTCTTGCTTCTGGCTCAGAGCCCTCTCGTTAACTCTGTCTCAGGTACTCTCTGCTTCTGTGTCTTCTCTCTGCTTCTGTCTTGGTCCCCTCCCGGGTTCTCTCATCCCCTTCATTCTGACCTCGGCAAGCCTCCGTTAGCTATTCTCTTGTCTTCTGTCTCTGCTATTCCCAGGCTGGACTGCTCTCTCCTGCTTCTCTCGCTCTGCCACCCTCAGGCTTGTCCTTTTTTCTCTGAAGCCCGTTCCCTGCTGTCCTACCCACCTCCTCATCCCCTAGCCCTTCATTGTCTCTGAGGCCCCATTGCTACCTCAGTGTTCTTTGCTCTTCTAGGGACCACCAGTTTAATTCTCTGGTAGAACACGCAGCCCTGGCATGTAGGTACAGCCCTGGCATGCAGTTGGCAATTATGAGTATGCGCTGCATTAAAGAGCCCAGCCGTGATTCTGCAGGCGCATGGACACTACGTCAGGGCTCCATACCCGAGTTCCCTGAGTTCTCTTTCTCCGCCACCATTCCAAGTCATATAAAGTTATTTATCGATCGTTGTCCCCTCCTTGTCCCCTAATTGGAAATGCCGTAAATATCACCAGTCATGATTTGAGGAAAAAAGAATTGCTTAATTTTGATTTCTCAGGAAATAAAGCAGACCTGTTTGGGGAAAAAAAAAAAAGGCTCCATTCGAAATAAATGCCATGTTCTCAGAAGCAAGGTGCACAGCTTCCTAGGTAACTGGAAATTATGAGGCAGCTGCTAGTTTTACCATTTGGAAATACTCCCCAAATATTCCTCGTTTACTGGACTCACCAAATTTTGAGAACTCCTTATCACATCAGTGCTATAGGAGGCCAAGTTTCTATTTGCATTCAGTCCTTGGAGATCTCAATCTGACTTTCTTTCAAACTCAGACTGATGTCTTCAATGCCTTGTGTCTGTGAACCCAGACACACTTTCTCTTACCTTTTACCTGGCTGACTGAGATTCCAAATTACTGTCTTTTGAAAAGTATCTGAAGTTGAAAGGTATGGTTTCACTGATGTGGTTCTGCAAACTACAGGTGATGTTGCACACGCTTAAGGCTTATAAATGGCTTTGCAATAAGTTCAATGTACTGATGCTTATTTAATTTGTTTCTCAAAACTTAACGAAGCCCATCGCTGGTGACAATGCTTTTGAGGGGTAGTCTACAGAGGCTTCATGGCAGGGCTGCATGTATGAAGGTGGGCTCGCCTTGCTCCCCACTGGTGAATGTGATCCCCAGCAGAGCTGCCTGTCATGATGTGTGAGACTTCAGGCAACTGCGTGTGACAATGCGTTGTAACTCGGAGACAAAATTCTACTTTGTGCAGGGTGCACTCAGACTTTTTCCTAAGCAGTTCAGATTTTCATCCACACAGACTGGGGGCACAGGGATTCACAGCCATGGCTGGGAGGAGATCTCTGCTCATCCTGAACACGTGTGCAGGAAAGGGCCCAGATTTGGCTCTATCAGCTGTAGACGCTGTACGTATTGCCAACCCTCAGCAAAGAGGAAGATACGGTAGAGCTAGACTTGTCAGACTTCTTTCTGTTGGAAATATAAGCATTTTTATTGGGTCTCTTTGGTGTGTCCTCGTGTCCGTTCTCTACCTATAAATTAAGTGCTGGCTGAATGAGGACTAGATCCACAGAAAACCTAGTGCCTGGGATGCATCTTCCTTCTTCTCCCTTCTTCTCCTGGCCTAGCCACACTGGCCTGCTGAATAGAGCCTCATTATGGGCCCCAAAGTCCACTCTTTGCTTAAGGAACCCTGCCAAGATTGGTAGGCCCTACGATTTGGCCTAGAAATTGTTTCTTCTATGGTATGCTTGTTGTCTCCATGTGATTCTTTATATGTGTCTTGAAGAACAAACAGATCCTTTAACAACTTTTTTCTACATGAAAACAATCAATTCCAGCAGCCCAGCCCACATGAACCACCCTACAATAACAAAGCAGAGTGTGCGCGTGAAGGAGGAAAAAAAGTTTCGGTAAGGAAACAGATTTTAGTTTAAAATTTCCAAGGGGTTGTAGAAACAGTGAGTAAAAATCCCAATTTGAAATTTGGAAAAAAGCAGTAGCATTTATTTAATCAATTTAAGAAGACTTTCTTAGGTGTTTCCAAATTACTCTTGAATATCCAGGACCAATTTTTAAATCAGCCATATAGACCTTATATATTGACGTCCGAAAATACTTTTAAAGAGTGATCGGGTATAAAAAGATATGTTTCCTTTGTCTTAGACAAAGGACAGGGACTCAATTTTTTAAAATAATATGCTATCTGTAAGAAAGCTTTGGCTATAATATAAACATCACCTTACAAAATGAGTAGTCATTTGTGAGGATAAGCACCATCTCAGTAACATCAGGAATTTGGCAGGACCTTGGCTTGTAGGAACCAATACACTTGACCAAAGGATGGTGAGTCAGGGATGCTGATCCAGGCCCAGACTATATGACAGCTATTGCTGGGTTGTCCAATATGGTAGCCACATATGCCTATTCAAAATTCAGTTCCTCGGTTGCACCTGCCACGTTTCAAGTACTCTATAGCTACTTGTGACTGGTGGCTACCATATTGGACAGCACACATATAAAATATTTTCATCTTCACAGACAGTTCTATTGAACTGTGCTATTCTATAGGATTATTTACAAAGTGAGTCAAGTCTTGCCTCAGTGGCAAGAAGATAATATTTAGGTAGTATATCATGTATCTTTAATACTTCATGTCCAAGGAACACTATGTGGCCATGAGCTGACCTTGGAAAAGAAGAGCATTCACAGTGGAAATTGAGAACTTTGATGAATGTATAGTTGAACACAATTGTTACTACATTTATTGGTTTAGCCCATCAATCTGAGAGCAGATAATAAGCCTGGCTAAAGTAAAATATCTATTAAAGCATGACTAACAGTGATATGAGCCTCAATTATCTTTAAATAACAGTCATATATTCAAATTAGAAAAGTTACTTATGCTAATGTAGAGTTTTAGAAAATACAAGAAAAGAAAAAAGTAAAATACACAACTTCAGCTCTAAGAGAAATATCACTGTTTATGTGTTACTGAATATCCAATATTGCTTTTACTATGAAGCCTAGCTTTTAAATGATATTTTCCTATTTATATTCTTTCTTGCTTCCTTAGTGTTTTCCAACTGAAAGTCAAAAGAGCCATTACCTTCCCTATCACTACTATGAGCTGTTCCTTGCTTCAGTGGTTTAACAAGGAGAATTGCTTTTTTTATTGGGGTTTGACCAGAAGAATTTCAGCGAGGCTCTAGCCAAGCTTTAACTTGATAATTTCCACTTGTGAAACCAAATATATCTGTAATAATCACTAGCATGAATGAGGCCAAATTGTCAGTTCCTCTGATAAAGCCGTGTGTGTTCGCTGTTATCTGCCCAAAAATGTATTGTTTATGATTTGTTGTTTGTGTTTGGTATTTGTGTTAAAAATGTTTCTAGTTTAAAAGAAATTTTCTTTTTATAGGTTTTACTTTCTCTTCATCTCAATCTTCTATATTAGTTTCCATGGAAACTGGGAAATTTTTCACTCAGCCCAGATCTAGAACATTCAGGAACTTTTATTCATAATGTTGAATATATGTTCTCAGGAAAGATACACACACACACACACACACACACACACTTATTTATTTATTTAGCTGAACATATAAACTATCTGGATTGTAAAGGGCTTTGGTTATGGAGACGAGACTATTATGGAAACAAACTGGAATTTTGAACTCAGTAATTTACCTAATCTGTTTGGTTTTTAGTTAACAATCCTTTGTATTGAAGAATTGTTTAAGAACCAAAAGGTGTATTAATAGTGGTACTACAATGATTACAAAATTCATGAATTTAGTTCTTTGGAATCAACTTAGTTCATTCGATTTCCCATTATTATAAATTAAATTTGTGTATTGAATTTATTAATATACTTGTTAAAGATTTGGAGAATTTTGCAAAGAAGTCATATGGAAACAGATTGGTAAAGTAGGAATTAAAAAAGAAAGCAAATATGACAAAAAGAAAATAGGAACCATGCCCATTCTCCATGGGAAAGATTTTTTTATTATTAGATAGCACATTATGTAATGAACCATGTCCTTAACGCCATAGCTTATAGAGGTACAAGGTTGATGTGGCAGGTTTTAAAAATGCCCTTTGTTCAAAGTAGGGAGAATATCACCGAAACACTAACTCAATAAAGGCAATTCTGTGAGAAGGCTAAAATGATGTAGTCTGACAAAGTATATAATCTTTGCCGGGAGCAAAACAAAGAAGAAAAGGGTCACAGAGCCTATGCTCCTGGGTGCTGGAGGCGTGGCAGAGTTCTTGTACACTCTAGTGTACAGGAAGGGAGGGGCATGGACGTAATATCTATGCTTTACCCACTATTCCCCCTAACGAAACTGCTGGTTCTTAGAATGCCCAGTCCAACATCCAATAAGTACTGACCAATGACGATGGTTACTAGATCGCCTCTAATTGGCTTTCTAGTGCTACGCATACACGACAGGCTTACTTCTCCTACCTATTTGTCAAATTAGGTGTTAGCTGTTCCCATAGTAGTTCCGGTGGACTTTATCTGTGATCGTAAAATCAGAAGTCCTGTCCTCACACCTCATGCTTCACCATTTGATATGTGCTGTTCTGAGATCTGCTAGTGCTTGGTGACATACCATTGCTCCATGTGCTAAGTATGGGAATGTTGTTGAATGGACTCTCCATTACCAACCTGATTTGTGTTCTTGTCCTTTGCTCACAAAAAGTAGGGAATCCTAGAAATTTCTATTTGTATGATTCCACATCCTTGCTCAAGTGCTTGTGGCCATTATCATGATTGTTCTAGGTCCTAAAATAGAACTTGAATAGAATCCAGAGAGAGTAATGCTGATATCTAGTCATCTTTCAATGATGTAGCCTTATGGAGGCGTAGAACACACAGATGACAGAAATCCACAATCAATCCTTGAATCCTATTTTAATAACTTGATAAGAAAAGCCACTTGAAAAGAAGATCAACACTATTTTTAATACCTAGAAGCTGAATTAATTTGGAGTTCATTTCCTTTACATTCTAGCAAGGGGGTGGTTAGGGAAAAGTTGAGTCAGTGTTAGAAAAGCTAAAGGAAAATTAGTTAATGACTTGAATACTCTTTAGACATGTTGGAACTAATCGTATATGAGAGCAACATGGAAGTCAAAATCTTAGAGATAGATAGATAGATAGATCGATCGATAGATAGATGATAGATCTGATTATATCCCCTGAAGGTATAAAAGATTAAATTACAATGTAGGTACTTCTGATTTTACTGAACAAAATTTGAACAGCTAGCTGTTACCGTCCCTGTGCTTAGGTATCCTACAGTCTTTTGTGAAAATAAGTACGTAAGCTCTTTTATGCAGTGTCGCGGCAGCTCAATTTACCATTCAGTTACACCGATGTGGTTGCTTAATAGGCTGCTCTAATTTGTCTTTCCAGTGCTGGATTTTGATAGCTCTTGCTAAATACAGATAAGAGTTAAGTGTTCTTTGTTCCTTTTTTTTTTTTAATTCAAATGTTTCTCTTCTAAATTTATTTTCAAATTTATTGCAGAAGAAAAGCAATGGGGCACCAAATGGATTTTATGCGGAAATTGATTGGGAAAGATACGTGAGTATCAGAAGATTTTTTTTCTTTATTATTTCACTATTTGAAAATGAGTTGAAACATTCTTATAATACAACATAGAAATAAGTGAGCATTCTCTGTCTCATTAGGCAGTGCCTGGCACGCTTAGGGTGGTATAGAGGTTAAGAGCACTAGAGTCTGTTACACTGGGTTCAAGACCTAGCCCTTCCATATATTAGTTGTGTATGGCTTTGGGATGGTTGTTTGCTGACCAGCAGAAATGAGGTCAGTAGTTACTTTAGAACATTGTCGAAAGAATTCAATGAGCTAATTATTTGCAGGTTATTTCAGTACCTGCTTAGCCTGTGATATGTGTTTTTTAAAAATGCTTTTTTAAAATATTAACTCCAGATTTTGCCATCCTAGTTCTTTTTCTAAGCAGCTTTGAGAATCAAGTCAAGTCAAGTTAACCTCTGGGGTTTGGTTCCATGGTGTCTTAGTCCATTCAGGCTGCTATAACAAAAATATCATAACTTAGTGGCTTGTAAATAACAAAAATTTATTTCTAACAGTGTGTAGGCTGAGAAGTCCATGGTCATGGTGCCAGCAGATTTGGTGTCTGATATGTCTGGTTGAGGGCCCACTTTCTGGTTCACAGATGGCACCTTCTAGCTGTAACTTCACTGGGGATCTCTTTTGTAAGGGCACTAACCCCAACTATGATGGCTCCTTCCCCAATGCCCTAATCACCTCCAAAAGGCCCCACTTCCTAACACCATCGCTTTGGGGTTAAGATTTCAACGTATGAATTTGGGGGGAACACAAACATTCAGACCACAGCACAAAACAATTACTAGAGCCTCATGGTACAAGCTTTTCCCAGGTCAAGTGACAATTACTTGTTGCTTTCAGGGAGTGAGGGTGACTCTCATCTGAGACCTAAACTCTCCACCTGATTCCCCTGGAAACTGATTTATATCATCAACATCCACTTCACCAACCACAACAGGACAACCACAATCATTCTTGGATTTTTAATCATATAAAATATGTAGATCATATTCACATCAAAGATCACTTCTGTTGTATAGCAGGTGCGTGCCCAAATTCACAAATGCTTTTGCACTTATATCCATTAGATGAATGTCTTGACCCAACCTCTCCTATCATAAAAGTTAATCTTGATGTTAAAGCTTTTGCATATTTCTTATTAATAATTTTATTTTTACAATAAATAATTGAATATTCACTATTAGTCAGTCATAATATTAAATGCTGCGGGATCCTTACCACCTTAAAAATCAAATACATTATTTGCATTTCATAGAAAAGAAAGCTGAAGCTCAGAGAGGTTAAATTCTCAATACCTCCCCACCCCTGCACTCTAAAGCGTGTCACTCTGCCAAACTCATCACCTGATCTTCTCATATCTGTTTCCCAGGATTGGGATCTTTTAGATATTTTTAGCAGTTCAGCTCCCTAAAATCCATGCCAGTTCCCATGTTACCCTAAATTCAAATAGTTCACAAATAATGTTATAAGGGAAACTACTAAATATTAAGAAAATGTGATTTATTTTCCCAGAGTTAATCCGTCTTTACCTAGAAGGACTTTTGTTGTATTTTGTAGGATTCTTTAATACACAAAAATGGGATACTCTAACCAAACAAGAAGTATGACAATAGAAATACCAAATTACTCATCAAATCACATATTACTGCATCTAAACCCTACACTCTAGTGCTATCCCTGGTCAACATGTGAATCCTTAAATGAAGCATAACTTCCCTCATATTTGTTCAGTCCTGAAAACTAATTAGGTCACGTAGGAATTATTGTGGTAATTCTACATTAGACACCACTTTCTCTAAGTCATAAGAAAGGTTTTATTCTTAAGAGATGACATCATCTTGCTTTTGGCAGAGAAAGGTGAGAGAGGGAAGGCCCCGGGGAGGATGTGACCTTTAAGCAGAGCCCTTATGTATAGGATGGGTTCACAGGCTGAACATTTGAGGGAAAAGAACTCCAGGCAGAGAGAATGGCATTTATGAAGACCCTGAAATAGGTAAGAGCTTGCATATTCAGACCATAAACGTTAACAATGCAAAGAAGACCGTGCAGCTGAGGGGCATCAGGGAAGGGGCTCTCAGACCTGAGCCAGGTCCTACAGAGCCGTGGACCACACAGAAGCACTGGGCATTTATTCTAACTTCAGTAAGAAGCCAGGGACAAGGTTTTAGCAGGGAAATGACCTCAATACACTTGCATTTTTGAAAAAGTAACCTTGAGTACTGAAGAAGGACAAGAGGGAGACAATGAATGCTTAGGAAATGGTGGCTTTTCCATAGCTTTCAGGCCTTCTTTCTCTCCATGGTCATGGCACTTTCATCGCTTCGGTGACTCCACAATCTCTCCTTCTGGCTCTGTCCTTTCTCACTTCCAGGCCTATAACCTCACCTTTAAAAGTGGCGCCTTTGAATGGCTTCACCTTCATCCCTTCTAGGGCTTAGAGTGTAGCCTCCAACACCTGGAGTCAAGGCACACAGGTATACCATTTGCTGGGTGTGTGTCCTTGAGAAATGGCATCTAATTTCTCTTCCTTTCCTCCTTGGTGAATGGGATGGTTCTTTCCATGTGGGATTGTTATGAAGGTTCAATAAGATAAAGTGTGGGTCACAGTACTTACCATATAATAGGAACTCAAAGATGATAATACTATCCCAATCATGCAAACTCTCTTTTATCCTTCCTCCCTTTGAAAACATTAGTTGTCTGCTGTTACAATTAGTTCAGTCAGGAATACCAGCAGTGTCCCACAATTTGAGAGTAGAAATCTTGGGGTCTTCTTGACCCTTCCCTCTCCTTTTTCTCCCATGGCTGATGTTATAAAGAACTAAGCTTATCCTTACAAAAGTCCTTGATTCCTCACTTCCCACCACCACCAACGTGGTCTCGTATTCTTAGCACATCTTCGCTGAATTGATACAAGTATTTTGAATGAGATTTCCTTTCTCCAGTTTCTTCTGCCCACAATCTATCCTGAAGCATACTTCCAAAACACCTTCAGAAGCCACTTTCTACCCTGACTGAGAAGCTGCAGTAGCTACATCAAGTTTGAATCCTTCCTCCAGCACGTTGGCCATCCGTGGTCTTATTTCCGATGTTCTCCCCCTGTGCAGCTTCCTTTCCAGCCAGCTGTTTTCGTTGTTGCCTCTCCCTTCCCCCATCTGAACCATGCTGTCCATTCCTGCCTCGGTGTCTCAGAGCAGCCTCTTGCTTCCCACCGCCTCCCCTCTGCCCTCTCTACCTGTCCTGAGAGGCCCAGGCAGACCCCTCGGATTCTTTCAAGCTTCATTAACTTCCTCTTCCTCCAGACTCCTATCACTGATGATTTGTGTTTTATATTTCACTTTTTAAAGTGTTTTGCCTACCAAAATACCTTTCCATTTTCCAGAGGAAAAATAATTTGCCTTTTGTCTTCCCCCGTGTTGCTTAGCACAGTCCTTAGCATGAGAAATTATCTCTGAATGTTTTCTTTCATTGACAGTGGATTCCTAGTTTGTTTTTCTGATAGGAAGACTCTCCAAGTATCCTTCAGTAAATATCTACACATATACTGCTCAGCGTTCACTTCCAAAGGTTAAAATCCTCACCTTCTAAAATAAGAGACATATCCATATCTTTAAATAGAAGTCTCTAGAAGGAAAATGAACAGTTCCTTGATTATTGTCAGAATAATAAATGCTTAATCTGTGCTTGTATTTTGTAGAACTCTCCTGAGCTAGATGAAGAAGGCTACAGCATCAGACCTGAGGAACCCGGCTATATCCTTTCTTTATTTTTTTATTTTAATCTTTATTTTCTCTAAGAAAACTCTATGATAAGTTCAGATTTTGAAAAGGTGCTGAAATAACCCAAGCTTCCCGACTCCTGTCATCCCCAATATTAGAAATGAATAAACAGTACAGAACAGCCTGATCGCTAACAAGTAGGCATTTTGTCTTGATCTATTCATAGAAAAGAGAGAGTGGAGAAACAGAAAAATGTGCTGAGAAACAATTGTGTAAACCACGGGTACTGGGTTGTCTGCTAAAACCTGATACGACCATGTCACTTACCGTGGCTGGAAAATAACCCTCACCTGTCCCCTCCCCACAAACCAGCTCTGGGCAGAGCATTTCCGAATCACTGAAATTCCTCACGAATTGTTCCTGAGAGTGGTTTTCCTCTCTCAGTGGACAGGGAAGCTCACATGGGCTGTCAGTGTTTGTGCTGAATGGGACATCACAAATGGCCACCCGCAGCAAAAATGTAGAACATTAAACTATGGGTCCTGGAAATTCACCATCCTTAATCATGTTCCAAGGAAAGGTGAACAAATTCGAACGCTTTCTTGATTTGCTCTTTTATTCGTCTGTGTATTTTACTTTGATTTTCTGCCATCTAAGGATACGTTTTCTGCCTTTATGTGCAAGCACTCTTGTCTTATACTCATCATTGCTTTTCCCAGTAGGAAAAAGAGTTATGTATCTTTAACTGTGTTCTACCTACCAAAGGAAAGCACTTTTATTCTTCGAGCGAATCGGAAGAAGAAGAAGAATCCCACAAGAAATTTAATATCAAGATTAAGCCATTGCAATCTAAAGACATTCTTAAGAATACTGCAACTGTAGATGAGCTGAAGGCGTCCATAGGCAACATTGCACTTTCCCCATCACCAGTGGTGAGTGGTTTTATGTCGAGCTTTGGTGAGTCTGGACAGACAGCTGTGTTCCGCCCAGACGTGTTAAGTACATCAGAAACTCTAAGCTAGAGGCTGCATCTGGTTACCTTTTTATGAACTTTGTAAACCTTAAATGGCTCATTCTGTTTTAGAAAGTTATGCTGATTTTGTATTGCAGTTCTTGTGCTTTTTAAAATGGTAGAAATGCATGGGACCCCATTTCTTTTTGACTTACGCTCTTGCACGCATTTGAAAAAGAAACAAAACAACAAAAAGATTATCCAGAGTTACTTCTGAGGCAATTAAAAACAATATGAAGTTTACATATTTACCAACGGTGATTTTTAAAAACATATCTTAGTTTTTTTTTTTCTATGATATAACACCTAGAAATTCATGGGAGGAAAGCCAAGGAAATTGTTTTTCTTAAAAGAAAAAAAGGCAAAAAAACCCAACTTTTTCATTGCTGTACTCCCCTCCAAAAAATTAACCTAATGTCATAGATCATAGTCTAAAAAGATATTATGACTCATAATCTTTATTATACATTATTATCGAATTGTTTTAAATACTCTCATCTTTTAGGCACCTAAAATATAGGTGGGCCTTACTTATATTATTCAAATTGGTATATTTCTACAATTTGTTCTCCAATCCCCCAGTTTCCCTCTGCTAACTTCTGCAGCTGCTGAATTCTGAGTTCCAACATGTACACTATTTTCTCAGTGGTGTTTGATAAATGCTACAACTGTTTTCTAAAAGTAGCTGTGAAGAGTAGATGAAGGTTCTCAAAGGAGCAGCTAATATGTTCTTGGCATCTTCTTCAGAAAGATGTGATCTTCCTACAGCATCCTCCCTGAAAGAGGTAGTTAATAAATGCTGGACCATTTCTGAGATGATTTTAAAAATATGTCTGCTAAACTTTCTAGAGAAGTTGTAATCATCTATCCTTTCAGAATAAATATTTGCCTGTCTGGGATGAATAAAATCTATAATGATGCATTCTTTAGAACTTAGGGCTTATAATGGCCTTTATCACTACTGTTAGTGATGAATACAATAATTGCTATTAGTAATCAACCACCAGAAATGATATTTCAGGTAATTTTTAATCATATACTCACTTGGTATTTCAAGGTGTCTCCCTGAAAAAAAGAGGCATGAAATATCTTAGTTTTCTTTCCATTCTGCAATGGAAAGTACAGATTTTAAACTCATAGGTTGGTCTGTAATACCAGCGATTTCTAGTAAGAGGAGCATTTCAAATGCATACACTTTCACTTTTCAGTTGACATCTTTCAAATCATTTTTCACTTACTGAATTTTTTTTTAATTAATTGTAGAAATTTATCTAAATGCCTGAAACCCATTTATATTCACTTTTCTGTAGGGTCAAATACAGTTAGTGGGCATTTGGAAGCTATCTGGGGGTAAGCATCAGAAGATAAGATCATGGGATTAAATGAACACATTTACGTGAAAGAAAACTTACTAAAACAGTTGCAGACAGGCAGTATGTATTTGCTGAAAGCAGAGGGGCATCTAGGAAAGAAGAAGGTCCCCTCTAGCAAAAAGAATATATAAGCCCAAGTCATCTGGGAGATATTCCTCCAACCAGATATGTTGCTGGCTGTGCAGCCAGAAGAGTGGTGGTTTACTCTGAGCTCTTCTCAACACCTATTTTTAAGGTAATGTCTTGACATGATGTGGTTAAGACTGATGAAAAGATTTTTGGGAAAGCAGTATGAGGAGTAGATGGGGACACCCAGGGAAAGTAATATGGAGTTAGGCTGTTTCTGCATACCAACACCACCACAAACCAATGGACTCTCGGATCTGCCTACCACCACGACCCCTGCACCCCCAGCTTGCTTCCTCTAATATGAGAACCTGGCTCCGCCCTTAGTATGATTCCCAAACATTTGTGATTTTTGATGTTTAGTATAGGGGAGTGAGCTGTTACTGCTACTTTAGGGAAAGGTATGTGTGTTTCTGGATATACCTAAGTAAAAAGAGAGATTATAACTGAAAACATATTCTTGGTTTTAGATTCCTTACCCTCTTCTAAGTAACCCATGTGTACCTATAGTTCACAAATGATACATGCAGTATGTTATCTCCGGAACCAGATAAGTAGAAAAAACCTTCTGAAATCCAGTTGGTGCCATGATAAAAATGGTAAATACTTTGTGCAACTTTAGATGTTTCCAGCCAGACAATCAGACATTTATATGTCTACACTGAATTCAGGTGCAAAAAGAGAAATAGAGCCTATGCTAGTTAATGATATATCAATATATTTCACATAGGCTACAGTTCTTATGTTACAATAGCATCAATCATTACACTAATAGAAATAGAGGAAATTCCAAATGGTAAGCCATTCATAACAATGGCTTATGTTGGATTTCTAATTTCTATTTCTTTTAAGGAATTTTAAGATTAAGTTGTGTTTCACTTGTTCTGTTCATCCATCTGTGAATATGTATCAATGAATTGTAACCCATTTGATATCTCTTATCATGAATTGGTTCTTATTTTATTTGAATAGTTCCCTGTGCACACTACATGGTCAAATTATTCAATAAATGAATGGATGGATGGATGGATGGATGGATGGATGGATGAATGCATCATATATAACTATGTGTATATATAATATAAACCTATCTGAAAATTACTCCTCCCCAAAACAAAGCATCAACAGCATAGAAAATCAGGGTTTTAATTGTTGGCAAAAATCCCACTGTATAGACAAATAAATGTAATTTCAGTCCAGATCTTGCCTTGGCCCTTGATTTTAATACAGAAATAAAGTATAATGTGGGCGGGGACAAGGCAGAGCGCTAAAAAAGAAGAGGGGATAATGCAAGGGTTAACTCACAGGAAAGGATGTTAATTTCTATTCCTTTCATGTTGTGGTCTCCTGATAAGATACTGTGCTGATTGGGCAAAGAATGAATAGCACTCAGGCTTTTGTTGAGTTGGTATCTGCACAAATTAGAATACTGGTAAAGCTGTTTTAACAGAGATCAAAATAGAAATGGCTTATACAAAATAAGTGGTTTACTTTTCTCCCATGGAAAAGTCAAACCTCGTAGGCACTTCAGATGGGTAATAGAGCCCTACTCCAGGCATTATTCAAGAACCCAGAAACTTTCTGTATGATTGCTCCACCTTTCTGAGGTTGTGCCTGCCTTACCACCATCAATCACCTCCATGTTCCAGCCTTGGGATGGAGGAAAGAGAAAATAAAAGGCAGTGGTTTCCTTTAAAGGTTTTACCGGGAGTTTGCAAACATCACTACCAAAGCCATAATTTAATCACATGTTCACATTAGCTGAAAGGGAGTTTAGGAAATGTAGTCTTTGCCTGGATAGATATGTAACCAGCTAAAATTCAGGGTTCTGTTATAAAAAGACAAAGGAGCAAATGAATTAGGGTGGGCATTGACAGTTTCTGCCACTGTGTCTTAAGTAATCTCCGATTACTTCTAAAAGTTCATTAGGAAATGGATTTTTTCCCCATTTACCTGCAAATTATTCGTAGAACCTGTTGAACCCAGGATGTTTCCTTTTTAAAAATTTCTAATCACTAAATTCTAAATATGAGTGATGCTATGCTGCATGCTAGCCAACAGCAGATGAACAGAAACAAATTTCATTAAAATGCCAACTTGTTTGGTTGATACTGACCCTTCCAATCAGAATAATGCTTCCTCTATCTTGCAAAGTACAGTGCTTTTTGAGGCAGGCTGTTTCATTGTTGAAAGAAATTATTAAACCCAAATGCTATCTCTGTATAACTTTTGTCCTTGATTGTAGCTGTGTTTTTAGAAGATTAACAAAGGACAGAACATCTCCCTTTCCACCTCCAAGTTTACTGTACAGGATATTTATTAAGGAATGAGCTTGGGCTCAACTCCTGTGGGGTAGGGTGGGCAGAAGGAGAAATTAAGCGGTGTTGCATGTCCAGCAACAGACGGAGCTGACCATACAGGGGCCTCTAGAGCTAGAATGGCCCTACAGAGCTGTCCTGAGTTTGACCGAGATGAATAACCTTCATACTGCCACATCAGTCAGTACTCTGATATGGGCAAGCTAAGAAGGGGACTGACCTTGGTCGAGGTGGCCCTCTGCAGCTGAGGCAGATCCTAGAGTGTTGCACCAATAGCCCTCCTAGCAGCTGGTAAAAGAAGCTGTTTTGAAGAGAAATCTGTATAGTACCTTTGGTGTCCACTCTAAATTTTCTATACCTGACATAGGGCCTTTTACATATCATTGCCATTCAATAAATGCTTGTGTGTGTGAGTGAGTAAACAAATGTGTGAGCTGGACCAGGCCAAGGACCAAACACTGTGGCATGTCACCACCCTCTGATTTTTTATCCATTGATAACATACTGCAGTCTCCCTGGTCCCCTTACAGTGGTTTACCTAACTATGCTCTCATCCTGGTCACGTATTTCCATTTCGTTCAAACCAGTGATGGAAACTCATTAAACACAATGCTGAATTTGAGAGACACGGGATGTCTACAGCTTTGCCTAAATCTGTCAGACCAGAAAACCTATCCGAGAAAACGATGGGTTTAATTTGCCATAACTATTTCTTTGTGCTGGCACCTAGGGTTATCACCTTCTTGTGCTTTGTGTCTGTCTGTTTACAGAATTTTTTCTAGAATTTTGGGTTAATAGGAGGCAGCTGTGGAGTCTACAATGTTCTACCTGTGTGACCTTAGAAAAGTGCCGTCATTGTTCTGAGCTTCTATTTCCTCTTCTGTAAAGTGAGGTTAATAATAATCCTTACAGACTTTTTGTGCAGATTATTGTTGGTCTCTAGCAAGTCAAATCTTTGGCTTTTTGTACCCCATGCTTAGCACAGTGCATGGCACACATTAGGCGCTCAGTTATTTAATAAATGACTAAATGCACAAAGCAAAGCATGCAGAAGATCCTAGACACAGTACCTGATGCACAATTAGTACTTCGCAATTCTTGGC